AGACATATAGATATATACATATAGGTATATATATAGATATATATACATATATACATATAAATATGTTATATATATATATATATATATATATATTACGTATAGGTGGCTCTTTTAAATACTATCATGTATACATACACAATATATATATATGAACGAGTGTATATGAATGTACAAACTGTACATGTTCGAGGAGCATATATTTACAAGATATCTATTGGTAGACAGGCTGTACAGTCTTTGGCAAACACAATAGGAAGGGGCGATAGATCGCATGTAAAGACAGTCGAACGAGTAAAGGCGGGAATAAGCGTAACCAAGAGATCTTTGTGTAACATCATCAATATCCACCGTTATGGATATATATATACAGGACATGCGTAACGAATACGCTTGATACTCGATACTGGAACAAACACTTTCATACCTGCAACCCCTCATAATTAACACTCGTACTACGCTGACATACCTTCGAAAGCAGTGCTAAAGCTCTCGTGACCATTATATAGACGGTCAAATCTGTTCTGCACTTGCACACAGGTGCGTGTAGTGTCTTGAAATAACCTTTCTAGCTGCGACATGCCTGTGTTGCTGAGGTGTGCTGCAATAGTACGTTAGTAAATTGTGATACTAATATGTGTCTATAAGCTGTCGTATATGGTCTTGTACAATGTGTTCTAGGTCTGTTTAGTGCTTCTAAGCAGACTATGCTCTATGGTAACTTGACAACGACTAACCATACAGATAATAAAAAGGCATACAGTAGTATCTGTATTTAATAGGCTTACATGACGCCGAATGGCGAAGCCCGAAAGCCGCGACTATTATTATTACATACACCCCCTGTGAGTCAGTGTGATTAGTGATTACTGATTACTTTAAAAAAAACAAAAAAAACTCAATGTTCGTCGCTTTGCAACTAAGACCTATAAATGCTTTCATTAATATTTTGCTTTTAGTCACTTTGAAAAATTTAAGTGTAAGTACGTTTTACGCCCCTCTACTAGCCCCTCTACATGCCTCCTATTTACGTACTCGAGTGTGGGTGGCTCTATGTACGCCGCTACGGTGCCTTACGCCTAACGGTCTGAAAGACTTTTGAGAGTGAGAGGAACGGGGAGCCGGGGGCGGGGGCTGTGCATTGTGGGGTCCCCGGCTAAGCTCAACACGTTTTTTCTATATGCGATACACTTTAAACATATACGCAAAACGTTTTGTTAAAAAAACGGTTTGAAGTATATCGGGGGCAAATCGACCATGAAATTTCCCAGATTTGCACCTGAGAAATTGACCTTTTTTAATGAAAAGGCAATTTAAAACCATTCACAACTGGGACAAGGTGAAAATTAGGACAATTCGTGACAGTAGGCCGCCTCGAAAAAATGTACCTTTTTGTAAACCCATAAAACTATATTTAAGGATAAACTTTGAACGTAAACGCTTTTTATATATTTTTTATTGCGTTTTAACGGGAAACGTAATGAGGTTTGGTCCCCGGTCCGCCTGCCCAAGCCCCAAGGTTCACATCGTGATGTTACAGTTTGTGATTTTAAACAACAGCCAATGATGTGACAGGAATATAGGTCCCCGGTCCGCCTGCCCGAGGTTCACAACTTCACATGTTACAGTTTGTGGTTTTAAAACTTAGCCAATGATATGACAGGAATACAGTGTAAGTTCATCTTGAAGTTGTTTCGCGGACAAACCTTGGTAACACTACGTGACCCCGATATTGCTGGAATGGAAGTTGCTGCTAAGAAGCACCATCGAAGTAGATCAATTTTGATATTCGCATACATAGTTGAATTCATATGTATGACCCCATGTGTGGTTTGTTTATCTCTGTGGACCGGTACAATAGACCCAGAGAGACATAGAGCGACCACATTGTGTGCACCTCTAAAAGTAGAACACTGGATATCTCACAGCTCGCCAATCGGAGGCCACTATTATTTTGGCATTGCGCAGCATTGCTCATCGGTTGTTTATCATGCTTCCGTGCATGTGTGCATGTGCACGCATGAATATCTACTGGTAGACACGCTGTATGGTCTTTGGCGAACACAATGGGAAAGGGGGGATAGATCTCGTGTAAAGACAGTTGAACAGGTAAACGCGGAATGACCAAAATAACATTGTATAATATGGTCAATATCCACAATTATGGATATATTTACAAGAGAACATGCATAACTAAAAACTAATACACTTGGAAATACTCGATATTTGAACAAACCGGATATACAAGACCGTTTTTATGCGCTTTTTATACATCAATAACCAGTGCTTTGTGACCAATTGTACACTTCTAAACAATTAGAATAATTGTACCTGTACTTTCTTTTCGTACTGTGACCCGGAACCTCAATAATTTGTGATCAGTAGCAAGACGGGATAAGAAAGACGATCTTAAATGCCAACCAAGAAATAAAAACAAAGGTCAATAGTTATATCTATATATTTATTTGCTATATCTATATATTTCTTTACTTCATTGTCTTCACTATTTCTTTCGTGGCGTCGTCTTCCGGTGACAACAAAGAAGGTTTTACCTACCTCGTCCTGTGATGATTGTGACGTTGCATTGATTTATGTAGATGAATATATACGTAAATCCTCTCGGGGATTATCCACTTCCAATCGTGTTGTTTCAATTGCGGATGTTGACGAATGTGCTGCAGTCTTAAAATTGTTGAGAAGTTTCTCGATGTCTCATATGTCTGCAGCAAAGTTCTAGAGAATGTCCTTTTGTTTTTCCATGTTTCCAATGTCGGCAGCAAGGTTGTCTAATATGGCGAGATTCTTTGAGATTTGAGAATTAATTCTCTGACTCTCAGCTCTTGATTTCTCTAAGTACATCTTCTGTTCTTGTCTTAATACCCGAGAAAACGCCAGAAGTTCATTTATCTCGATCTGGGCTTCTTTTTCTACTTTATCCTGTCAGCGAGGAGTATATCCACTTGTCGGGTTGTATAACCACGTTTTTCGGGGGGGGGGGGGGGGGGGGTAGGTATTATTGTGGCGTTCTCAGTTTCCTTTTGACCTCGCGAAGTTGACCAGTATTGATGGCTTGGTCATTGACGTCGTCGTCCCTGTAGCTCATATTGTCTTCGTACAAATTGCTTGGGATATTTTCACCTAGGGCTGATATAAGAATACTGATGACAAGTAATTCCTCGCGACTGGTGAGATTAGATATTGGGCAAATGGACCACTCAACCAACTCTTCGAAGCGATAAATGGCGGATAATATATCCTTATCTTCAAGCATAACAAATGCCAGTAGAATGACTATGTTTTCCTTGCAGCGTTCAATCATAGTAGCAACCATGGTTAATGTAGTTTGTAGCACAAAAGTGTGCATATATTTTTTCAAGTTTGTACAATATAGCGATATATTTTATATCACTGAATGTTTGATTTTTCGAAGAAGGCTACGACTGAAAACGAGCTGGAATCCCCTGTCATCATTATACTCGATTTTGTCTGTCACGTAATGCTAATAGAGGCATTTGA